CGCTGCCCGCCTTGTCGGGGCGAGGGAGGAGGCTGGGAACTTCACAGCATCCCCCTCTGCCCCGAGGCCAGAGCCGCTCTGCAGCCTCCTCATCGCTTTTTTGGGTTAAAACCACGCGGTACCAAACCACGCCTCCCCCACCTGCGCCTTCCCTGGCCACCGGCATTGCTGCGCGTGGATTTTGCTTTTCCTAGTTGCAAACACCCACTGGGAGAACAGACCTCAGCAGTATAATGAAGAGAAGCAGAGTAAAGACTAGCTGAGCTGCACAGGTCCTTTTCTCTCCATCTTACACCTTGCACAGCCGTACAAGGTTTAGGGCCAAGGAAGAGCCGTCGATTTAATATCCCGTTAAAATGCTGCTGTGCTCATCAGAGTAACTGCCAGGAGAAGAGGCAGAGCTCGGCCCCGCTCCAGGCAGCGGGGATGCTCGTAAAGGTCTCCCTTTGCTTCAGGGGGAAAAGCACAATTCAGAAAACTATCTTGGTGGCTAAATAATAGGAAATGCCTACACACGTGGCAGGCTGCTGCATTTTCCTTGGTCACCTCAATTGTTGCAGGTTCAATAGCTCGAATTAATCGGCGCCATGCCGCTGTAGATAACGGGAGAGGTTATGGCCCCAGACTGGCAACAGCCCGTTTCTGTGGGTGCAGAAGCACTGGTTAGGCAGGTGCGGCTCGGTCGCTTAGACCTGCGTGCACCTGATCCCGGATTAATTTGAGACACCCCTCTGGGGGGGTCTCCATAACGTTTTCCATCAGCAGTTACCCCCCACCTGCCCTCTGCCTGCTGGGGGGGGTGATTTGTACCCAGAACTCCTGCCCGTAGCGTCCCGCTGGGGTTGTCTGACCCGGGCTCGCCGTGCTTTGCCGGAGCAAGCTGGAGTCGGTGGAGCCGGAGCTGGCTGGGGCAGACTGAAAAAACAAATCACCTTTGGGTTTGCAGCAAATTAAGCTACGGTTGCTGCACATCTTCCTCTCGGCGTAAGACCAGGAGAGACTCCGAGAGCGTTTATCAGCCAGTTCGAACGGCTGAGGCAGGTCAGCCCTCGCTTACTTATTCCTCCAGCAAAGATACCCGAGGTTTTCTAGTGGCTGTGTTATTTTGTACGTGCGCACAGTAAAGATGGTTCCAGCCTTCAAAGCACCAACTGAAACGCTTCCAGTTCCTCCTGCCGGAGGTTGGCACTGAGCTGCTTATCTGCCTCATCAGGAAACAGCAATAAATTCACCTCCGGCGGGTACGACTGCCCGGCGTGTCTTCCCTTCCATTGTTCCTTCGCCTCGCGCCGTGACGGGCCGCTTGGCGCGTCTACGAATGGTCTTGTGCGGTGTAGGATTAACCTACGTTTATCATCGTTCCAGTCCAGAGAAATCAATGCTCATTTCGATATAAAAAGCGACCCAGGTGGTTTCCCGCGCAGCAGGCGGGTGTGTTTGGTAGGGTGGAAAGCGCAGAGGTTAATGCCCCGCTACGCTGAATTCCCCAGCCCTCTCTGGAGCACAGAGAGTCTGTTTGCTCAGCGCTTTGTGCTCTGGCTTCCGGGCATAAAATAACCAAATACAAATAACACAAATAGTGGCTGTTCTTACTAAGCTCTTACCTCCGTGACTCGCGGGCAAAGGGGGACCCAGCCTGACGCTGGGGTTGCCCTGCACCTGGGGCCTGAAGTTTGCACCCGGACGTGGATCTCTGCACCAGAAGCACATCGCTGACCGGGAGCCGGGGAAAATTGCCTTCCCACTTATTTCCAGCCTGCGTCTTCTGCAGGAGCACTGTTCCTGGGGCTGAGTATTCATGTACCAAAACCGAACAGGTTCTGTTAACCTATTATTAATAATATCATCTTAAACTTCCTATCAGGCCAGGCTGGCTTATCTTGCTCCTCTCTCTGGGCTATTCAGCCCCATCATGTCTTGTCTCTCCCTAAAGAATTCCTCCAGCTCCCTCCTATTTAGGAAGGGTAACCCCCCAGCTCCTTGAGGCATGGGCAGAAATGCCAAATAACAAAAGTTTGCTACCAAGACAGTGTCTCTCACGTAAATGCTTCCGACCTCGTGCGCTGACCTTTCCTTTGTTATCTTTTAAAGTACAGTTTCTAAAACTTTTGTTTGGGGAAAAAAGCAAAGGAACCAGGTTCCCCTCTGCCTTCCCCTCCGCCCGCAGTCGGAGGTGCCCGAGCAGCCTGCTCCGCCTCGCCCTTCCGTCTGCCCTTTCCCCACCTTCCTCTCCATCCTTGCAGGCCCGAGTCCCGCGTCTGGACGGTGATGTTGCTGCTGGGGACGTGCCTGCTGTACTGCGCCCGCGTCACCGTGCCCATCTGCGCCGTCGCCCTGAGCACCCACTTCGACTGGGACAAGAAGCAGTCCGGCATAGTGCTCAGCAGCTTCTTCTGGGGCTACTGCTTGACGCAGATTATCGGAGGACATATCAGCGATCAGTACTGGAAATTATTCCCATGTTTTCCTCTGCTCGGGCTCTTTCAGTGACGCTTAGCTTGGTTTTGACACCTCCAAGTCTCAACAGTGGCTGTGAAATTTTCACCCTGGGACAGCGATGGGGTGGGAGGGCGAAGCGTGTCCACGGGGAGAAGCTTAATGGGGCGCTGCAGGTTGCTCTGAAAGCAGCTGAGGTCTCTCCACCAGCCTCCCTCAGGGTCTGTAGCTCTGTTTCAGAAAGGACATGTGTAGTTTTGACTGTCCGACTAGACCTCTGGGTCTTAAAATCGGTGCTAGGCTTACAGGGCGGTATGCACCGAAGGACTTTGCGCAGGCAAAATCCCCAGCAAACATGAGTGTCTACACGATCATTACTGCCTCGACAGTCCCTGCAGGAGAGATCTACAGTTACCTTAATGGACACTTAGACCAATGTAGTTGTTTTTTTTTTCACCTGGAAAGAGT